TCAGCATGCAGACTCATTTTTAAATCAAAGAAACATGACCACATTCAACCACACATGCGGCAACTCCACTGGCTTCCAATATCCTCTCGCATCAAATACAAGTCTGCCAATCTTTGCTTCAACTCGTTCACTAACCCTCACTTTCCTGTCTATCTCTCTGAACTGTTGCTTCCTTACATCCCCACAAGACAACTACGTTCTTCCATTGACAGTAGAACCCTCTCAATCCCAAGAACTAAAACTAAGACCATCGGGGAACGCTCCTTCTGCTTCCATGGGCCCACGTTCTGGAACCAGCTCCCCTTCCATATACGTCATAGTGAAACCTCGTCCATTTTCAAAAAGTCCCTTAAAACTCATCTGTTTAGGTCCGCCTATGACCTGTGATGCACCCTCCTTGCCCTACCTCATTTTCTGTTTCGGGTTGATCCTGAAGTGTCAAAGTGTCCTCGTTTTATAGCCATTTTCATTGTTTCTATAAAATAGTAGTTACTATCCTAGTGTCTCATTTGTATTTACTTAGTTTACATGTTTTAATAATTGTAAAGCGCTTAGAGTTTTATGATAAGCGCTATATAAAAATGCCTAAATAAATAAATAAATATTGGCCTCTGTTGACTGCTAGGATATGATATTGGCCTCTTCTAAAAATACAAAAAATGTAATCATTCATATTTTGATATTTGGGCTGCTATGTAACTATGAAAGCAGAAATCTTTTATTTTATTTGAATGTCCTAGCAATGATGAGGCAAGCCTGAAGGCAGTGAAGAAGTGGTCAGTTGTAAAATCATCAAGTTCCAGAACTGTCTTTGCTTCAAGGTTTTGAGTCTTGCAATTGTCCCCTGGCCAAAGTGCCTCTTTTTCCAATTAAGGCTTCTTTTTCTCCAATAAATGTTTCCCTTTCAATGGATAAGACGTTTCTGCATCACATGCCCAGAAAATCTTATATGACAGAGTGCCTTCCTTGAAATAGGTTGCTAGTCATCTGTGATGTTACTGCTGGGAGCATAGTGTCATCTGATATTTGTTTGGAAAATATCACATATGTGGGGCTACTTTGTC